AAAGGTACTGATGTGGTACCTGCTCGCAGCCACAGAACACCATGGCCCAGGCACAGCCAAAGGCTGTCTTCTGCAGACTCCTGCCATGAAGTCAGGAGCTGAAGAGTTTCTGGCAGCAGCAGGGCCTGGACCTATCACCATCGTGGATGCCCTTCTGCAGAGGCTCAGGTCATCCCCAGGAGCAGCCTGCGCAGTGGTCTTGCTGTGGTGCTTGGCGCAAGGTCAGGAGTGGAACAGTCCAGCATGAATTACCTGTTGAGTACAGCCAGTCTCCCGTAGGCACTGGACCTAGGAACACCAGCAAGAAATAAACGGCACTTAAAAAGACACTGATCACAGCATGTGTATAGTACTAGAGGTCTCGGAGCAAGTTCTGTTGTTTTTTTCTAAGTGCAAATCACTGATGAAGCTACCATTTCCTTCTTGCATGAATTCAGGTCTCTAGGCTCTTCCTCTTCTAGGAACTGTGGAAAACTGCAATATATATATAAAACACGTGAACAATCTGTTGTTGGTTAGTGATGTGTCAGTGCAGGTTATCTATTGTTAATATAGGAGAAAATAACACAAGTGAACTACCTTTTCTTGGGTGAAAGTAAAATCAGAAAACAGCAAGGGGACAGAGGTACTCAAACTGAATGTGTATTTGTAAAGGAGAAGAATATTAATGGACCTAAACTTGAAGGAAACCTGGAAAAATACAGAAACAATGTAAAGTGAGTTGTCACCTACGGCAGTCTGGGTTGTGACTGTGAAGTTATTATTGCCCATAACGAATACCTTAAGGCTTGCAAGAATATGAGTTTCACCTAAACCCATTCCTCCCTGATGAACACTGCCTATCAGACATAGCTTTGCCTCTAATTCCGACTTGTTTCCTTATGCTGTTTGTCACTGGTGGGTGATTAGACAGACTAGAAGTTCTGCATATTTCAATGCATATCTGATCCATGGGGGTTTCAATTACTTTGCATGGAGTGTGAGCAAGCACAGTTTGTATAGCCCCCTAGTGAGAAAAATATGAGTCTGTGCTGGCTCTGCAGGGTCAGCAGAGTGAAAAGACGGGGTTGCTGGAATCAGGCTCTGCATCCTGAGAACAGGCCTTTTCAGACGGAGTGTGCCCTTGCACAGATAAAATATTCTTCATAATAAAGTAGAAAGAAAGATTAGACATATATCTGGTATGTCTGGTATAGCTTTCCACCATGAGTCTTGAGTGAATGAAATGTTATCTCAGGAGGAGAGTGTCTACACACCCCCATGCTGACACATGTGTATTGAGTGTAATTTATAGCAAAAGTATGTAGAAAAGAAAAAAGTGACAGCACCTGAGCAGACAACACCAGCGTCTTCATAGTGGCGACAGTTGTGTATCCTCCATCCAGGGTGATTACAATGCGACAAGGAGACCTCAGTTCCGCTGCACTGCATGTTGTCCAGCAAGATATCACCCGAGCCTTGTCCAAAGTAAGCGCTTCCTGGAGCTGCAATGGCCTGGCCACATCCCAGCTGCCTGCACACAACCTGGGCGTCAGAAAGGTCCCAGAAGTCATCACAAACTGTCCCCAGCCGTCCTTTGTAATATAGCTCCACGCGACCTTCACATCGATGCCTGCCATTCACCAGCTGGAGATGGGTCTCTTTGGGAGAGAGGGAATTGAGCACACATACAGTCAGACAGATAAGCTGGAAGAGACCATAAGAAGTCTTCTATTCTACCCTCTTGCCCCGTCATTCCTAGTAGGTGTGTTCCTAGCCCAGCATTAAACACCTGTGAGGACAGAGGCGATAGACACCATTATTCTTCCTGTCTTCTGAATCACAAAATCAGCTGCATATATTTCCTGCAACATTTCTGCAGAAAATTTAGGCAGCGGGCTGAGCATAAATTGTTTCAGCAAGAAAGGGAACTTTTTAATCATAAGCAAAGCATTATTAAAATGAAGTGTTGAGGGCCAGGTTGGACGGGGCTTTGAGCAAAACCCAATCTAGTGAAAGGTGTCCCTGCCCATGGCAGGGGGGTTGGAACTAGATGATCTGTATGGTCCCTTCCAACCCAAACCATTCTGTGATGCTATGATTCTATGACAGCAGGAAAGCAAAGGAGAGAAAATGAATTTCAGTATCTGAATGAAATCTAAGCAAAACTGTATTAGGAATATAACAATAATTTTTTTTCACTTTGTTAACAGGAAGAAAATTTCATGTTTTAAGAAAACATTTCATGTTCATGTATTTCTTTTATTACTTCCTGTCAAAATATTTTATGCTAAAGAACAAGGAGATGTTGCAATTTGCATTGAATTCTGCTGGAATTTAGGACGTACAGCACAGCTTTCCTGCCCTCCACCTGTGTCTTATCAGAAATCTCTATGTGTAGCCCTTCTACATGATGTACAAAGCCTCTGCTGACCTGGGTGGAGGGGATCAAAGCAGAGCAGTGCCTCAAGAAGATCACCAAGCTTTCAGGGAGACAGCAAGATGCAGCTTGGACAGCCAAGACCATGGCTTTTTCCTAAACTTATGCTCATGGGGCTGCTACAGTGCTGCCATATAAAAATTACCAGGCAAATAAATTGCAGTTCACGAGGTATTATGTACTACGGAAGGACAGCAAGCAGTGACCTGCTTTACTTAAAAGGATGTCAGAATTAGGCCAAATGAATCCTTCAGAAAAACCACAGAATTCTGGAGAAAACATGTGCCATTCATTATTTTTCTCCCTGCTTTATGCAATTTAACTGGAATGCCTCTTCTTCCTCTAAATTTTTTACGATAATTTTAAGGACCTAGAGTCCACACATCGCAACCAAATCCTAGAATTTTTTAGAGTAATTTTAGTGGAAGAATTCCACTAAGTGTTGAACAGAATGTATGGTGCTCTCAGTGGGATTATGAAAATTTCAGTAGGAATCCACTGGCTTTGTTTCTTATATGCCTGTAAAATGTAATTAGAGTTAGAAATAAACAAATACCTAATACCTTAGAATGTATACAGCTGATTACTGCATTTGTTCAGGCAAAACCCAGCTTCTTTTCAGTTTTAGTTAGCTTAGTTAGACATTCTGCAGTGAACAATATGAACATCCTGATTTTAGAGATCCATTTTTGGTGAATAAGTTTATTAAAGACTTTAACTTTATCACTTTAAAGAAGTGTAAGTGAGCAAATATATGTTGTAACTTAAGATTTACAGTATTTACACTTTGGAAATCAAAATATGCACACTGCACTTGTTATACTTTGCATTTCTGCCAAATGCATATTTAGCTTGTTATTAAACACTGAATAAGTCATCCAAAGCCAAACAACTCTAGGATGTTAAGGGCTCCAGGATTTCTTCACTGCTTCTGATTCTTTGTTGTTGGACTAGAAGAGCAGTCAAGGCAGTGCCCGAACAAAGTTTGTCCCTATTTGTGTGCACTTAACTGGCAGTCTGAAGGGAGAAGCCACAAAAGTGCCCCTTCACTTACATCTGATTTGTTTCTTCAAATATCTGCTTGGACAGGAACATTTTTGAACCACACTCCTAGGATTTTCGAGAAGCAAAACATCCAACTTGGCAAAAAATCAGGCTGGGATTAGGAAATTACGGCTGATCTAAACCCATTTTATTTGCTTTCATTCAGGGTCTGTCATCAGTGTGAGAGCATAACCATCAGCTGGGCAAGTAATTAGATAGGTTGCGTCCTGCCTCGCACTTTAAAGGTGTCAAAAAGACAAAAGCCTGTGACTGTACAAATATAGCACTTACTGTGACCCGGGAGGGAGAGGAAGGGTCTAGGGAATGAAGCCAAGAGCAGAGAGAAGAACTGCAGCAGCAAGACTAAGGTGGCTTATCACCAGGCAAGCAGAGGACAGATGAAGAAAACTGGATGAGGTCGATGATGGCAATATAAATTAACACAATGGTGCTTAAATAACTAGCTAGAAAAAACATCTGCAATTGTTCTAGGATATGTGTAGAACTATTTAGCTCGGAGTCACCTAAGTCACTTAGGAAATAGAAACTAATCATGTAAGGAAAAAGATAATGACAAAAAATTAGTTGAACTAACAGTGTTTCATGTCTTTCATTATTTTTAGATGCCCCTCATTTATCCACAGTGCTAGATTATGAAAACTAACTTCTTAATATATGTCATTAAATTCTACATAAGACCAAGAAGAATCAAATAACTCAAGCAATATTAAATATATAGCATAGATATGTTTGCATATACTCTGGAATAAATATACAATTAAAAAAAAAAATGTTCTGTAATTCTTAGTTTAAATTCCTGGAACTGGAAGAATGACTCATTCATAGCACACTTGCAGACACAAGCATCGCAACGGTACAAGACACTGAGACAGGTACTACGCTGTGGCAGCAAAATGAACTCCACTAAAAGGTTTAAATCATTCTTACCATTCACTATGGTGATTACTTCAGATTTTTAGTACAACAGAACTGTGCTATCTCTTTCATCCAATTTCGCTTTTAATCTTTTGCCCAAACCCGTATCAGCATGAATGTGATTTCTATTTGTGGAATCTACAGAGAGGACCCCAAACAGAATATATATACTTTAGAACAAGTCTAAATGTTTTACCTGATTGGGCCTCCAGAACCGCTGGACCTAATAAGAGTAGCCATGTCAAAATCGTAGTGGTACCCATCTCACCAAGTGCTGTTGATACGAAGGACCATCAGAATATATATTCTCTATTTCTGAGGGGGAGTGGCACTGTAGGTTTCTCTTGCTACAGGAGAACAATAAAACAACAACAGTCCTATGATCTGAAAAAAAAAAAATGTTTGATTTGTTATTTAAGATTTTGTAACTTCCTGGGTTTTGCAGAAAGATGATATCTCAAGAGTAAGATTTTCCACTGCCTAGAAGGGAATATTTATGATACTGTAGGTTTCACAATCATCTCATTGTATAAAGAAAGTAAGCTTCTATCCAAAGACACCTTTCGATTCTGGTCAATGAATCTCAGTATTATTCTTTCATGGGGAGGTTCCTTGGCAGGTCTGGGGAAGGTAGTGGAATCTTGAAGTGTAAATGAGTTTCCTCCAGTAAATTAATAAAAGGACTTTAAAACTCGGTTCCAGCTAGTGAGGCAAGTCTCCCTGGGGAGCGATGAATTTCTGACAGCTTTGGCATACTCAAATAAAATAAGACCTGGTGGTCCTGTTGAAGTGTGGTCAGGGGAGTCTCTGAACATAACCGAAGAGAACAGTGGCTGCTGCTGAATGCAACATGAAGATAACCAAGAGACACTTCATCGAGACAGTTGCATCCTATCAAAATTGCTAGCCCCACCACAGCATCTATTGCTCTGCCCTCAGCAGCAGAGCCAGCAACAAGAAAGTTAAGGTAGGAGGTGACTGCAGCCTCATGGTGGACGCAGGAGCCACTGGAGAGACAGTGGCATGGAGATACAAGGAAAGCAGAGGAGTAAATCAGTGCTCCTGAAATACCAGTCTGGGACCTTGGCAAAGAATGTTGGAGTGGCAGCAAGAGGCGCTGACTTGAGAGAGGCATGAAATACTGCTTGCTAGTTTCCTTGCTTGAAAGCCCCAGTCACACGTGGAGAGGAGGTCATACCATAATGTGTAAGTGACAACTTTCCCTCAACACATGGGTAATACTCTCCAGATAATTAAGGAGAGAGACTGACCCAAGCCTTGTACACAAATCACTGTAAGATACTTGAAGAACCTTGCAGTTGAAGTCAACACCTCCAGCCCAAATATGAACTCATTCCTGTTTGGCACTTTGAAGTTCAAGTCAAAACTATGTTCACTGAGAGACTGTCAGATTGCAAGAAAACAACAAGAGAATCATTTGATGACTTTTTGTGAGAAATATGCAGAAAAATCAGTGTATTTTATACATATTTAAGTAAATTACATAGGTGACAACTTTATTCTAAAATTTCTGTTGATCTTCTGAACCATCAAATGGGGAAAAAAAGGTTTAAATTTCTATTGAGAATCTTTCTTGTTTGATTTTGCACAGTGACAATTCTAGCTGTGACATTCTTTGAAGAACAAATCCAAAGCTTTTCCACAACATGAGATAATGTTTAGTTCTCATTCATCACTGTCTTGCCAGAGTGGTGAATTTCCCGTGTTTCTGTGCTTTAACCATTTAATGAGAAAAGGTTGAAGACCATCCTAATACTGAAGAACCAGAATATTGTTCTTCATCTGATTCCTACCTCTACAGCCATCAGGGCTTGGACAGCATTATCAGGAGCTAAAATTTGTGGCACAGTTGTTGCCATATAGAAATTTATTGCCTCCAGGGGCAGTCATCAAGGATGGAGATTAAAAGTCCAGAAGCCCAAGGGAAAAATGACTTGGAAGGTCTTTCCACAAGTGCCAGCATTATTGGCATGGAAGAAGGAAGTCCAAAATGCAAGAGGGCAAAGATAACTTTGGAAGCCTTGAAAGTGAACATTGAGTAAGGTAAATATGCTTCTTCTTTATGCAAACAGCCACATTCGCAAATGAATGAGGAAATGTACACAACACCTGGTATTCACTATTCATACCCTGCTGGTTTTGACACCTTGGCAAGAAGCAGAAAAAATCAGTATATTTGACAGACCCATCAAACACTGCAATCAGTGAAGCGACACTAAGTGATGGATAACAATTCTTCTCCAAACTTTTGCAATATCTGAAAAGGGTGGAGAGGAAGGGGAAGACAAAAGTGATTCCCAGATGATTCAAATGAAAAACAACCTCTGACATTTCGAACTGTCCAGGTAAATGAACAACACTGAGTAATTAATTATTCCCTACATTCTTCACTAATAGTTCTTTACTGAAAACTTCAAAGATAGATATTTCTAGAGATTTTGAATATTGGACAATCTTCACAGTAGGAATGATAAGTGCTATGTTCAGATTAATTTGAATTAATTAACGCAAATACCATACAGCACATATTTTCATTCTCCCATTGACTAGGTAAGGCTACTGCTCTAACATATTTTTGTTGTCTAGGGCTTCTTCTGGCAGCTTGAAATGTTTCTCAGCACATTAACTCAGTGAAAGAACCTCCACTGGTCTTTGAAAATATTTTCTTTTCTACTGACTATGGGTAGGAGACTTCTGCAGACATAATTGCTTTTGTGAGGTCTAGATGAAAACCATTGAAAGGACACAGAAGATTGATCAGCTTTCACCCATGACTGTAAGAAAGTATCTACACTGGAACGAGGGTATCCACAGACTTCTGCACAGAAAAACGACAGTCTGAATCCATGCGTTATGACACAATGAGGCAGCTGAGTTTAATTTCTTGGGTTCCTGGGTGGTCTCCTGGGGTTTGTTGTGTGCGTCATGTGAATCATGTCATTACATACCAATTTGCATTTGTTCAGTGGTGAGAATGCAAGTAGATCAGAAATGTCTGCTGCTGAGAGTCAAATCCACTTGATCTACTGGTAGAAGCTTTCTTGAATGTGGTGGGGCAGGAGGTGGGAAGGAAGGTTCTTGGCAGAGAGACCATTCACCAGGCACTTGTACTTTAGAGTATGACCCTTTCCTCATCACCCGATCCAGTTTTCTCAAATCCTGCATTTCTATAATACTTGTGGATCAAGGAAGGCAGGAGGGAATAAAGAGGATGATTCTGATACTCCAACTACTTGAACATTTTAGCAGCGTTTTCTACAGCAACATTTAATATGGAAACCACTGTACTTAGTACTTCTACCTTGCATTTTGGTACAACCTTGGTATATCTGGGACCCCTGGCACAGATATAGTATGAAGACTCAGCTCTGAACAGTACAGCCGTGTTGCAGATTGGAGGCACCAACATCCTAAGGCTAGGATCTTTCTGCCTGTCTGATCATGACAATGTTCAGAGACTAGGAGATGTAGAAAAAGTTCCTTAAAGCCATGCCCTGAATAATGGTGGGGTAGCAACACCACAGCAGCAAGGTCACTGCAGGAGCAGGGGCAGAAGAGAAAACCGCAGGTCTGAGAAGAGCAGAGGGGAAGGTCCACTTCTAGAGAGGTGGGAAAGCCCAGGTCCAAGAAAGTCTTTACTGTGCTGAGCAGGTGACTGGATTCCTCCAAGCATGGACAATCTCTGGTCCACACAACATGACTAGAAGAAAGGCAAGTTCAGCCTCCTGGATTGCCCTGACCTTCAAAGGCGGCTGTAGGAAGAGAGGAGAGGAGGACCCTCCTCAATGCTTTTTCCTCCTGTGTGGACAACAAAATTCACTTCCACTCTCTGTAGGCTGTGCTAGGCCCTGCTTCTATGGTCCCTCTCCACAACGTGAAGAGGTGATGAGAGGCCTGTCTGGGGTCACCAGGAAAAGGCAGCTTGAAGGAAGAAATGGTATGGGCTGTAATGACGATTCTCGTCAGAGCTGCCCGCATCCTCCTTGTCAGGTCAGAATGTTGCCATAGTGTACAGCTCACCTTCCTCACACGTCATTACTTTGTCTCTGGCTGACCTGACACATAGTGCATTACACTGTTCCCCTCTTTCACAGCTGGCTAGAAAACAGAGAAGTCTGAAGAGGAGCATTTCTCAATCAAACACCAGTGACCTTTCCACCTGTAGTAAATGGCTTCTTCCAAACAGATTCTTCTTTTATTATTGTTTTTAATTTGTTCTTGCGTGGGTATAGGAGACAGGTCACACTTCCTTACGGCAACTTACGTACATTTTTGCTTTCTCCTCCCCTTTACATGTTTAGAAACGCGTAAGAACAAGAGCGCAAATCATTGCTTGGCAATATCACTTTGTCAGAAATAATGTTCTCTGACTTGATAATGTGTTAGCTGGGAGTTCAGACACATAGATGGTTATGTTTGCAAGTACACAGAAAGAAGTGTTGCTCAAAACCTTTTTCTTTCCTGTTTTTTTTTAAATTACACATCTACATAACAGATCTGATTATATGCGTCCTCTATACAAAATCTTATAAATGGTCTACTTTTTCTCAGAGAAACATGTAACTGTGAAGAACCATACCTCTCCAAATAAGAAATGCTGTAGAGGAGCAATTCTTCATGTACAGCCCCTGTGCACGTTTGCTTATGGCTCGTTATTGAGATATTTATACTGCAGAGAAATATTTTTCATGGACTACTTTCCAGAGTATCTCACAGTGCTACACAAGTATTTTATCCTCATATCAGGAATGGCAAAAGAAGTCAGTTCTTCTTTCTCAAGAAGATCTAAATTGGACTTCTCAGACAGACAGTCAGTCAGGAGCTCATCTGAAATGCTCTGAAATGTCCAGCATTGAAGGTGATAGCTTATTTGGATGCTGGGATGGAAGAATCAACCTTTCTTGAGACCTTAAGTGTATTTGGACTTGAGGATTTTAAAGCCAGGTTCCTTCATAAGTTGAGTTTGTGGCAACACTGGGTGTTACCTCGATACAGTACACTCTGAACTGAACTACCTGAAAGGAGGTTGTAGCGAGATGGGTGTTGGTGTCTTCTACCAAGTAACAAGTGATAGGACAAGAGGAAATGTCCTCAAGTTGCACCAGGAGGGGTTTAGATTGCCTATTAAGAAAAGTTGCTTCACTGAAAGGGTTACCAAGCATTGGAACAGGATGCCCAGGGGACTGGTGGAGTCACCATCCCTGGAGGTATTTAAAAGACGTGTAGATGTGGTGCTTAGAGACATAGTTTAGTAGTGGATTTGGCAGTGCTAGGTTAACGATCCTAAAGGTCTTAAAGGTCTTTTCTAACCTAAATAATTCTATGATTCTATGATTCTTCAGACAAGATCTGGATGGTGGAATAGTCAAGTAGGAGTTACCCTCTACACAGACTGCAAAACCAAATAATGAAACAAAATGACTGGTGAAAATATCCTTCCTCCTGCAAGTCTTGGGTTGCCTCTCACATTATCTGGTACGGGATGGGTTCCTGCAGTTTACGCTTCAAAAGAAATCCTCCCACATTGAGAACAGCAGCTACCAGCACCAGGACGGTCACAGCCAGAGGAACGTGGGAGCTGGCAGCAGGTGCTGAGCTCTGAGACTCCCCTTTCACCTGGATGTCAGAGGCCAGCTCTGTGCACAAAAGAGAAGGAGAGAGGCTTAAGTTTGTTTTGCCCAGCTAGTTAATCTCAAAGGTAACTAGGCAAAGAGAACTTGAATTAAAATTTTGCAATCTGGATCTGATCAGAAACCAAATCTCTTTATTGCATATTTTTTCACAGATGTTTCTGTAATTTCATGGCAAGAAAATGAAGAGCAAATAAGAATTTGCAATGATTACACTCTAAGACCATAAGATGCTGTTTTCTGATAGCGGGACAGCAGCTGCAGGACACTGGGAAAAAACATTTCCAAGGGGACCCATAGATTGGTTGCTAATAAAGACAAGACATGCCAAGCAGGCACAGATGACTTTGAAAAATTAATATAAATCCTGCAGAGAGATGAGTTACATCTCATCCCTCTTCCCACAGAACTGGATCAATTACCATTTGACATGTGCAGAACAAGTGATGGATCTAAACAGTGACAGAAAGCAAACAGCTTGTAAATGTTATAGAACAGTTTTATAAAGATTAATTTAAAAAAATCCCCATAAGAATTATAGCAGAATTGTGAATAAACCAGCAGAAGAATATTTCAAGGCTGGATTTCGTGTCTGAACTGACATGCAAACATACAGTAATACGCAGAGTCTTACGTTATTCTAGTTACTTAAACTTACTAGTGTTCGTGTTCTCAGCGTTAGCTTCCCGAAGTTGAACAGGTCCAACAACAACATTCACTTTCCCCTGGGAAGAACCTGCGTTCCTCCTGAACCTACTAACGCAGCCTTGATAGCAGCGGGATGAGTAGTCACTGGACCTGCACACCACCAGCTCACACTGCAGGTAGACTGACGGGTGTCGATTAACAAATGAAAAAGCATTAAATGAAAACCGAGCAGCATTGCTGTATGGTGAATAGCAAGCAGAGTAGGTAGGATCCTTAACACACCTGGAAAGATACAAAAATTAATAGCTTAGCTATTGTGAATAGAAACACTATTTCTGTGCAATATGTTTTAAGTTCTAACATAAAACCAGAAGGTAAGAGTATAAGAGAACTCCAAAGGGTAAAAAACCCAAAGTGTGTTTTTAGCAAGAAGAGAAATTAAGAGACAAAAATAAGTAAGAGTGGCAGTGATTTCTACCACAACATTGTACACAGCACAGAAATTTCATAACTCAGCAAAGTTCATGTAAACACAAATAGCTGAAAAATAACTAGTGGTTCTGCTGGTTTCTGCATTTCAGGTGAGGAACTGTTTTGCATTTGCAAACAGGGTTACCTGCTTGCGAAGAGGCCCCTGCAGGTTCTTGCAGAAGCAGAAGGGGCCCTTTCTACTCTGGAAGGACAAAACTAGTTCTAATACACATCTTTTTGGGGGGCAATAAACATACTCTTTAGCCTTTTGATGTTTGTAGAGTACCTTGCTTGAGGAATCTCGACACCTGACAGAGATCTCTAGATGTTTCACAGAGCTAATTGCTTGATTAACTTTCTTGTTAATGAGTTTCCCTTTCTGACAATTACTAACCTTAGAATTTACCTAACGTAGATCCTAGTCACTGTGGTTTAATTCAACCACCATGCAAAAAGATCACAATAATTTACTCACAATTATTACCCCAGAATATTTCAAAATTGTCATTAATTGTCTTTGTATCTCAAAAAAATTCCATCGTCCTCATTTCCCTAATAAAGACCCCAAGTATTTAAAATCTTATCATTCTTAGTTTATTTTACACTGCAGGGACATCCACACACACCTGACTTGTATAGATGGATATTATTGATTTTAAAGTCAGTAAATACATTTGCATTTGAAACAGTTCCTTGTCACATGAACAAAAATGAACAGGAAAATGGTCAGTGTATTTGCCCCATCTCCCTGGTGAGTGCCCTGCTCGCAAAGCTGGATGGTCCTTCTGTGTCCTGCTTAATGAATATGTATTTTTATAGATAAAATAAAAAGAACCCCCAGCAAGGGGAAAACCTTCCTAAGATTCACACGAAATGTAAAAGGGAGGACATCCACCCAGCAGGCAGGAGGCACTGTGTCACTTCATTAGCCTAGGTTACGACATCGCTAAGGTCACTGACGTCAACACCATCAGAGGAGGCAGAGAGATTCAAATGCCACTAAGCACAGAAGGGAAATAAATTAGCATGAGCTTTTCATTCCTGGAAAAAAATGGGGCACTTTTATGCTTCTAGCTTGCTGTCAGTTTTGCATTCCTTACAAGAGCCCACAGTCTTTCCATTTTAAATGAAAATGCACATTTTGTATCAAATTAAGCAAGAGGGTTTAGGTTTTCAGAATAGCAAGAAAAGGCTAAGGAATTTCCTTTCTTTTTTTAATGGAGTGTTTTGTATTCTAGTTATGATGTTGCACAAAACTATTTGCAAAACTCTAATTGTTCCTACACTGTGTCATGGAGTGAAATCTCAGTGCTTGACTGCAACTTCTGAATGGTTTTTCTTTGTCATATATTTTCTTCAGGCCTTGCCAAAATGTCTTTCTTAGAAGTATATTTATATGTAAAATTGCAACCAATGTACACTGGCCTTAAATCACCTCTGTCATAAATGAAGCTCTTTCAGAGCTATGCATAGAGACAGTTTTTAAATAATTCTTTAGAAATTTCTTACCCACTTCTGATTAAGTCATATCTCAGTGTTCTGAAATTGCTAGGACTGGGTGATGCCACGCATGTGTCCACAAACACCACCAGATTTGGGTCAGAGCTGTGAAGAGAAGCTTGAAGGAACAAATTCTGATTCAGGTCAACATAGTATGGAAAGTCATGCACTGGCCACAGGAAAGATGAGGAATTGTAGAATGTCAAGTTCGCATCGTATCTGCCATACTGGGTTTCACTGATGCTGATGATGTCATCAGCAATGTACATTACTTGCACCCAGGTGTCCTGGAGCATTTTGCAGTTGATGTGCAAGTGAAGGTCCTTTTGCCTCTTGACGATGTAACCAGAAGCAGGCACTTTGATCACATTGGAGTAGGATATTGTTTCATTGTTGCCCTATTTGACACATTAGATGAGTACAAAATTATTGCATGTAGTGATGTTCACAGCGTGCACTATGAGCTTGTATGTGCCAGGTCCTAGTATTAGTAAGAAAGAAGAAGTCATACCCAAAAAACCCAAGCATCCTGGATGAGATTGATCACTTAACTGTCTCCTATACTTTGTCCTCTAGAACATCACTCTGAAATAGATACAGGGATTAACTAAACCCTGGGAAGGATAAGTAGGGCTGTTTAACAAACCTTAGCCTCCAGAAACACATGCTGCTTTTCTGTGTTTTGAATACCTGTGGGCTACACCACCCTCTGCAATGCATGACATTTCTCCAAATGTCTATGAAGTTTCCACGCCCAGGCTTGGAGAGCTCTCCAAAATATGTTAGCACCAACCTGTCTACGTGTACCACAGCCTCTGTATGGAACGTTGAATATAACCTCAGTGGATGTAATTGTTGGTCTACAATAAGAGTCAGACAAGCTGATGTTCCACACCGAGTAGCCCCGAGACTGGAGATAAAGTCTGTCTACAACTGCGCGCATGTAAGTTGGCAAGCACACAAGGGCTAGGGAAGAAAATACGAATTATTAGTGATTTCAGGTACTTGATAACGCTTGCATGTTACAACTTCAACAAATGCAAAAGCTGCTGACATTTAGAGGAGAGAATTCATAAGTCAAAACAATTATTTTTCCACTTTAGACATAGATATGAATAAGCAATAATCTCTGACAAACTTCAGCTGGCCCTCCATTACTCCCCTGACAAAAATATGCAGCTTACAATAGGCTTTTGCTGAGGCCTTGAGCCTGTATCACCACTCACACAAAAATGCTAAGAAATGGGAGTTTTTCCTGAAGAAGAATCCAAAAGCTATTATGGAAAGTGTAGAGCTAAATGTGCACACTGGCTTGCAGAAGCACTGCTTGCGTGGGAGAGGATCCTGCAACCATCTCCACAACAGTTCACCGAGTCCATGACATGAAAAGCAATGATCCTAGGGAGAGTTTGGCTTTTGGTAGGGAGAGATATCTGACGACAGGGAGCTACAGGCCACACACAGCCTCTTGAATAGCAGCTACGAAGACAACAGAGCCAAATGTGGTGGTCACTGTTTGTGCCTGGGGAGGTTGTGAGTGTACATTAGAAGAACTGGGACTGCAGGACAGTACTGGAACAGGTCACCGGGAGAAGTTGTGGCTTTGAAGATTTCATCCTTTGAATGTTTCTAGAGACTCACCTACACAAATTCATACTGGACCTGACCTGGTGTTGGCAATAGCTATGCTTTGGTTAGTTGGACTAGGAAGCTTCCAAAAGTCTGTTGGGGTCAATGTAGCTTGAGAGTTAGCACGACTAGGCCGCTTACGCAAAACAGTTAGCATAACCGAACAGGCTGCTGGAAAGGACAGCTAAGAATAACAATTGAGAAAGTTCTGATAGTGCACATGATGTAGGTTAGCAAAAACAAGATGTGTTCAAGGACATGGAGGCGGTCTGTTGCTATTAGCATTAGTGCATAGTTACCAATCATAAGGGAATATGGGGTGCGCGAACAGCTAGTGATTTGTGTCTGTAGCCTATCCGAATAAGCGTGATCACGTGTGCAGATATGAAAAATGTATATAACCACGGAAGCAGACCAATAAATCGAATCGACTGTGCATTGTATCAATGTGTGAGAGTGGTTCCTGTCCCTGCATGGATGCTGAAACTCGACAAAGTCCTTTCTAACCAATATTTCTATGAAAATCTGTTCACAAAGGTAGAAAAAATGTCTGAATAATGAAGTGAGAAGAAGAAAGATTAATTTAGACTGGTTGTCATAGAAAACATCTAAAGGCAATTAATTTGATCTTGAAGATTTTTTTAAAATGAAAAAATAATTATCGTCTGAAAGTGACCAGTCAATAACCAGTTATGAGATTCAAACAGAAATAGCATCTATGTAGGAGTTGTTCAACAGCATTAACAAATACTTACTTAGCAAATAAAATCAGGGTATAAAAGCTTCTGAGCAAAGAAAACATTACAAAGATAATGGAAACTTACTGGTGTTCTGATCTGCTGGAAAGGACAGATACTCTGCATGAAATCCTCTGCTGGAATATCTGGAGTCACTGGTAAATCTGACAGTCATGAAGTTCGAGGATGATGTGTATGTGACATCAGAACTAGAACAAATTCTTCCAAGCAGGGGAGAAGTATTAGGTGGTCCATCATAGATCTCAATATAGTCATTCTCGCATCCACCTTGCAATCTGAGGAAGAAACATGAACACACAGTAAACTGCATTTGGTGAACAGGTTTTTAAGTTCTGAACAAACAATAGACTAAGATACTGCACTCACACAATCCACATGTAATATTTCTAATTTACTTATAAACATGGGAAAAGTGCTTGGGAACTGTGGTTGGGATTGAGATTTGGGACCCATTTACTGCCCAAGCAGGAACTGGTTTACTTACTGAATACTTCCAAATGTGAGCATAATGCGGAAATTATTCATTACTTGTATTTGCCACAAACAATCTGCGTTATCTGGATAATCCGAAGGATAATAAGGACTCTGAAGTGTTCCAGAGGAATTAAAAAGTAAGCCACCACAAATATATTTTCTAGCTAAAGAAAAAAAAATAAAAGAATTTAAAAAAAAAAAGATAAAGATGTGATTTATTTAGATTTAGTTCTGATCAAGTGAAAATACATTTATGTATCCAAGCCATTCCAACAGGAAGTTATATCTCCAGAGACACCCAATGGCTGTGCTCTTCTCACTCAGGCTACAAGTGTGAGATGATCTCTTCAGAGAACTCTGACTCTCCCTTGCTATTTTGCATTTTGTAGTCTGAAGGCATAAATATGTATGAGAGAAAGCAAGAGGTGCTGGCCCAAATAGTAAAAAAAATAGAGAGGAAAGAAAATAAGATTTCCCACAAAGTCAATAAAGTCTGAAATCCACCTCCAGCCACAGAATCAGAGAGACACAGGGAACCAGAATTTAGGATATAAACAGTTAGTACCAGTAAAGAATTCTTCCAAAGGTATTGGAACGTGCACATGATGAAACTCCAATCTATAAACTACTAACCAGTGCACCTCCAAAGTAATACATCAGACAGATGACAAAAGCAGACACACCTGGAGTAGTCAATGGTGGAGTGGAAACAGTGGTTGTGCTTCTGGCATCTGTTAGAGGAGGAGGAGAAAGAAGCAAGTGAGGGCTTTTTGAAGGAGTGAGTAAGACCAGGTTTTCTCCCAGCGCTGGAGATGCTGGTGCCACCCTGTCACATGGACGATGGAGAGCTTGGGTGTCTCAGCAGGGTGGTCTTCCACGGTGGGTGCAGAAGAAAACCACAGTCTTTGAACATGTCTCCAACACAGGCCTAACTGTGGCCAACAAGGGACACTTTTTGAAAGTGTCCCCATATTTAGGAAGGAACAGCAATGGTACCTGAGCACACAACACCAGCAGCTTCAGAGTGACCACAGTTGTGGACACCCCAGCCACGGTGGCTGCACTGGAAGAGGGAGGACTGGTTCCCTGTGCAGTGCACATCATCCAGGTAGATGTTGCCAGTGCCTTGTCCAAAGTAGGCATTTGAGGGTGCAGAAACAGCGAAGTCGCATCTCAGCTGCCTGCACACCACCTGGGCATCGTTCAGGTCCCAGTCATCATCACAGACAGTGCCCTGGCCCCCATAGGAGTGAATCTCTACGCACCCCTCGCATGGGTTCCTGCCATTCACCAGGGTCACGGAGACACCTTGGGAAGGAGGAGACAGGGGGAACATGAGAAAACTCTCCAGCACATGGGCACCTTCTCTCTCCAGGGCATTGGTAACGCTCTGTGAGTTTCAGGCCAACAGGACTGTTGCCCTCTGCTTAACTGGGTTGTGCGTTTCCCTGGCTCAGCTCTCCCAAGTAGAAGAGCAAACCCTGCTCTGTGAGCCACTACGTGGCACCACAAAAAGTAGTGGTGAGAAAAAACATGACAAGTTCAGACTCACCTGGAGGAATGGATGCCGTGAAGCTGGCTTCAGTTGTGATTCTGGCATCTGTTAGGGGAGGAAGAAAAAGCAGCAGGTGAGGGCTTTTTGGAGGATCGAGTGAGACCAAGTTTTCTCCCAGTGCTGGAGATGTTGGTGCCACCCTGTCACATGGGTGACGGAGAGCTTGGGTGTCTCAGCAGGGTGGTCATCCATGGTGGGAGCAACGATATCCACAGTCTTTGAACACATCTCTCAAATAATTTCCCTTCAGCCAAAGAAGTGCTAGTTTCTTGTTTTCCTAGAAATGTTGCAGATATCCCATCCCTGGAAATGTTCAATGCCAGGTCGAACAGGGCACTTAGCCATCTCCTAGTTGAAAATGTCCCTGCTCATTGCAGGAGGGTTGCACTAGATGACCTTTAAAAGTCCCTTCCAATCCAAGCCATTTTATGATTCTATGATTCTATGATTTTTGTTGTTAATCACTGCTCTTAGTGAGTTACTAAATTTGACAATGCAAGGGATAAACGGATTCAGGAGAGGCATGTTTTCCCAAGAGGGACGTGTATTTTGGGATTGGTTCAATCCACCTTGGAACTTTGCTCTCTCCAGGTTTGCATGCCACATGCTTGATAGCCCAAAGTGCATGAATTGGCAGAGCAATGCCCTGCTCTGGGCTGTGTACACCACAGCATGATGCTCCGACCTGTCCCACCTGCCACCTGGGAGCTTCAGACCCCCAAGCTAGGATATTAACTAGTGCAGCCCAAAAGTAGTGGACAGAGAGAAAACATGAAAAATGCAGACACACCTGAAGACCTTTGCATGGTGGCATGTTGGGTCATGGTATCTGTAACTGTTAAGGAGCAAAGAAAAAGAAGCAGGTGATAATCTTTTTATCTTAATAAAACTATGAAGATTACCTCTCCCAGATCCACAAATTTCACCTGAGGCCACTGTTCTACAAATGAAAAACAAAACAGTGGTGAAGAACTTGTTCTTAAGGAGACATGCTCATTCCACGTGGTGACTAGTACAACAGCAGACTGAGACTCACAGCTTTGGACAAGACAGTCAAGTGAGGTGTGGTGGAGATTTGCTGAAAAAGGATTTTTAAGCAAAGGGTGTGTTGCATATTTTGCCCACTGATGTGCAGCCACTGAGGATATAGAGACAATCCTTTCTCTAGGACACATTAGTAATCAATTTTTAAAACTGCTTTATTACTCTGTTAAGGATAGGACTTTGCTGTTAATACTTGCCATGCTTCCCCATCTCACAACTCTTAGGATTGTGAAAATCAAGGGTTAGAGCCTATGCATTGTATGCATGTGTAAGTGCGACAGTAATTAATTTGGCTCTGAAAACATGGATACAAATACATATCTATTGGGGAGGAGCAAATGATGGTTGACCTGACTGTTAGAAATGGTCTTCTGTGGTCTTTTTTTTCTCTTTGCTTTGATGACATACATGTTGTGCTTTGCTGTGTGACGTGTAAAGTAAATGCAAAACTACTGCCAGCACTAGGTCAGGTCAGTCGTGACAGTGTAGCCACAAAAAGTCTTGAAAAGCTGCAAGAATGAGGATTCCCCAGCCTCCGTGATAAACCTAATTAGAAAGTATGTGTAATGTTTAAACATTTAATTAAAGTTTAAGGTAGCTCCCTTCTGCCAAACTCAATTGAATGTGGCTAATATATTCAAAAGACAGAGGGGAGGGCAGTGCCACATCATAAGGTCAAACTGCAAGAGAGAGCACAGCATCATAGAACAGTTTGAGTTGGAAGGCACCTTACAGATCACCTCGTTCCTACCCCCTGCCCTGGGCAGGGACACCTTCCACCAGACCAGGTTACTCAAAGCCCCATCCAACCCGACCGTGAGCACTGCCAGGGAGGGGGCAGCCACAGCTTCGCTGAGCAGTCTGAGCCAGTGCCTCACCACCCTCAGAGTGAGGAACTTCTTTCCTATATCTAGACTAAATCTGGCCTCTTCCAGTTGAAAGCCAGTAGCCACTATGCCTTGTCCTACCCCCCATGCCCTTGTAAAAAATCCCTCTCCAGCTCTCTTGCAGGCTCCTTCAGATACTGGCAGGCTGCTGTAAGTTCTCCCTGGACCCCTCTCTTCTCCAGGCTGAACAGCCCCAACTCTCTCAGCCTTTTCTCATAGGAGAGCTGTTCCAGCCCTTGGATCATTGTTGTGGCCTCCTCTGGACCCGCTCCAACAGGTCCATATCTGTCCTGTGCTGGAAAGATGTTGGATGTTTTCTCCTTATTTATAGCTGCAAAGAGCAGTGAACAGAGAGGTGTCCCAGTCAGAAGAAATTCCTAGAAGGCACATATCACTTCAGTTCTCTTCTCTGAAAGAGGAGTGATAGTTAAGGTGTTTTTTTTCTGCCTTGCTCTTACAAGTGCTTGTGTCTGAATTAAAGCAGGGAAATCACATTGCCGAGGCAAAGCAAGAGGCTGACAGGCACGATAGAACTCGAGAGGTGTTTGCTGGGAATAGTAAATCCAAGAATTCATCCCTGTAAAATATTGATAGTATTCAGAAGGTCCCCAGTGGTACTAAATATTGGCTCCTGAGAAAACACAACACTGTTCTGATTTGCATGTGTAAATGTGCAGACTGAATGTTACAGTCTCCAGGTTTTTATTCTACACACGCAGTAATCTCAAGGGTGCAACTGTGAGCAAAATGCACAATTCTGGCATTTCGTGGTACGATACAGGCTAGCGGCTGTGTCTTGCTATTGTACTTCCACTCAATTATATAACGTTAAATAAGTATTGGGTGGTTCCACATGCATCTGCAAGGTTGAATATGAAGTCTCTTAAAACAAAGATGTATTGCAGCCAAAGAAACTATACTGCCTCTTCATTCTGTACTGAAAACCATAGATGTACGGAAGCAAAGTCTTTCAGTAGTATTTTAATGACAGTATTTTTGTTATTTGTTTTATACTATGCTACAGGGCACTAGTGCTAAACAGAGCAATATTAATTTCATTGCACTATATTTACTTCAACACGAAGAACAGTGAATCATGATATTGATTGGTTCATATTTTTAATAAGACATCACAACGTTACCCAATTTCAGTCTGTCTTACTATGAATCTTTGCACAAAGTAGATTATAGTAACATGTGAGTTACACTTACGGAATCAGTGTAGAGGAGTAAGACATTCCCGTTTTCCCTAATTTTTTTGAAAGAATGCTCTTTAAAGATTTTAAGTTTTTCACCTGAGGTGGCATCCAGGAATGCTGCATTTAAGAGGAATAACCACAGCAAGTTCTTGGTGGTACCCATCTTGTCAAGAGATACCAACAAAACAGGGCATCAGAATTTATACTCTGCACTTGTCAAAAGGGTGAGGCTCCCAAGGTCAGTTTGGCCCATGCTATGTCTGATTTCTTATGCAATATTTTTATGACTACCTGATCTTTACAGAATGATTACACACGAAAGGTAAAGTTTCCATTTCCTGGATAATTTGTGCTATGGCCCTTATTATAAATTCTCGTAACTATATGTACAGGCCTACTGTTACCTTTGGAACAACACTGGTGAATCTATGTGTTTCTTTGCCCCCACCACTCCAATTTTATTTATTTACTTCTTGTAGTTAATGACTTCATTAAACAAAGTGTAACACATCGCAAGAGGAGGCAGCAGATTCATAGCAGGTTTTCTGATAAATCCTTCAGCCGACAGCCCTGATCTCAAACATGTTTATATTTCTGGTGGTTTTCACTCAAAATTACAGGCTTGTTTCCCTGATGCTTGTACACAAACCACACATCATAAATTGGGTTATTTCAGGTATCAAAAGTAACTTAACACCAGCTATTTGTAGTATACCTTAAGTGCACCTCATCTGGGGGCCTCTGCTGAGACGTTTACCAACGTCTTCACTCCATCTAGTGCTATGCCCCTTAGCTGAATTTGTCAAAAAGCCTTCCTTCAATCATTTGAATCACACAATTTATAAAAAGGGAGAGAGGTACAGGTTGAAGTAAAACTAAAAGTCCCGTTGAAATGGTTTCCTTGGTTGGTCTATGTGAAATCTTAATGGAATTATAGATCGCTTAGGGCACAATAGCCCATAATTGTGTCCTGCTGATCTGTTCACTAGAGTCACTATATTACACTTCTACTGTTTCTCCTCATCTGATGAGGAGAAATACACACCAGCTAAAATCAGGCTAATTGTTGGCCTAATATGCTATTAATTACACTTGCTCCAGGCTATACCTATACGTCCTTTTTGGCTATGATACTAACAGCAACCTAACTGCAATAATTGACATAAATCACGATTTCTGTTGGTCTATTCCAACCTCCCTCTTGCAGAAAAGCACAGCTTGGGTCTAGAGAGAACAGGAATAAGGAGTCTTCTTTCTGCAAAGTTTCACTGTGCAAGAATAGAGGAAAGAAAGACACAAGGCCAGAGTCCAGAAACAGTCAGAAGCTGTCAAAGCGGTCCCTGATAAGAGCAAACAAACTGGAGGACAATGGTAAATACAACTGATTGTATTCATATGTTAATAAAGAAATGTAAGCCTGAACATTGCTATTCACAGCTCTACTGTACCTGACTTCCTGGCAAGAGCGAAAACAATATCATGTGCTCAGTGGAGCGATCACACACTGTGATTGGGAAGCAGCTACGGGGTCATAATCCTGGTTCTAAATTCTTGAAAAATAAGAGCTTTGTACAGGCCAAAGAGCATAGGCAGCTGGAAAACAACTTTGCAGAAAGGGACCTGGGAGTCCTAGTGAATGAAATGACCATGAGCCAGCACTGTGCCCTTGCAGCAAAGATGGCCAGTGACATCCTGGTGCTGCATTCAGAGGAGCATTGCCAGCAGGCCAAGGGAGGTGATCCTCCCCCTCTACTCAGCACTGGCAAGACACACCTGGGGTGTAGGCTCCATTTCTGAGCTCCCCAGTACAAGACAGACATGGACATACGGGAACAAGTCTAGCAAAGGGCCACTAAGATGATTAAGGGGTGAGCATCTTTTATACAGAGAGAGGCCCAGAGAAAAGAAGGGCCAGGGGGATCTCATCAATGTGTACAAATACCTGATTGGATGGAGTGAAGACTCTTCTCAGTGGTGCCTGCTGGCAGGATGAGAAGCAAAGGACATGAACTGAAGTACAGTAAATTCCATTTAAACATAAGAAAAAACAATTTCACTATAAGGGTGGTCAAACAGTGAAATATGTTGCCCAGCAAGGCTATAGATACCTCCATTATTCAAGATATTCAAACCCAGCTGGGCACAGTCCTGAGCAGCCTGCTTTCCCTGGTTCTGCTGTGAGCAAGGGGATGGACTAGAAGATCTCCAGATCATCCAGGTTTAACTGGTGTATGACACCATTAATAGGAAATTTATGGATAACTTCGAGGAGATTCAAGAACAGAGGAGGGCTAAATCTTAGCTGGTGTGTGACACCATTAATAGGAAATCTATGGATAACTTCAAGGAGATTCAAGAACAGAGGAGGGCTAAATGCACTGTGGTTAAATTTATCCTCAACAATTAAATCTGCTAGCATGCTTCTTTAACATAAACTTGTCTGTCAGATTTTGTGCCGGGCCTCACCAGTTTCAGCTTCCTGGTGTATTTCTGATCTTTCCAGTAAGTGTTTGTCAACTTATATAAGGATCTATGTCCTCAGGTTTGATAATAGGCACTTTTGATTTGCAGCTGCTAAAAAGCCAATGTCCTCTGTACAAAATACGCCTTAGATTACCTCACCTTTCTATTGCACCAGGCACCTTTGATTTGCAGCTGCTAAAAACCCAATGTCCTCTGTACAAAATATGCCTTAGATTACCTCACCTTTCTATTGCACACACCAACATCACAGCAGCAGGAAGTTCACTGCAAGATAAAGTACCACAAAAAATGTAAATAACCTGATGTATGAGGCTGCACTGCTGATA